GATTTTCTAAGAGATCGTGGACTGTCAGATGACCAACGATACATGCTTCTGTTTCACGGCACAGATCATCAAAGTGCCGCCAACATTTTAAACAGGGGAATATATCTACCTGCAGGAAGACAGAAGCGGGACTTTAGCAGTGGAAAGGGGTTTTATATTACAACAAGTTTGGACCAAGCGATCAAGTGGGCGAAAAGCACGACTTCAAAGCCCGCCATATTGATTTTTCAAGTGAAGCGCAATGATCTTCTGAATGCTAAAAAACTGGATTTGACCAGTAACTTAGAGGAATGGAGGAAAACTGTTCATTACTTTAGGTCAGACGAGGGACCAGCCTATATAGGAAAGGAAATACGAAAGGCGTACGACTTGATTGAAGGACCCGTGGCCACAGCGAGCAGTTCAGGTGTAACAAGTGACCAGTTGATGTGGCAGCCAAAACATTCATCTCATCAATTATGCTTGATTTCAGATGAATTTGCCAAGAAGTTTTATCGAGCCCTGCAATTTATTCTGCTTGATCTGGTTTTGTGAATTTTGGCCCCTCCCATTGGCCTAGAGTTGTTAAAGATGTTGAAGCTGAAAAAGGAACAATTTTTCAGTACTTTTATCACTCGTGAAAATTCTTGCTCACCTTTCAATGTGTCCATTATTACAACAGCTCAGCTTAGTTCGTTTGTTGAAATCAATAACATAGGACAAACTGCGTCAGTCAAAATATGTGCCTCTTAAGGCTGCAATGTTCTCAGCGAAAGCTTGTTAGGTTAGGTTCTCTTGACACTGTTTCTAGACAAGCGTGATGGAGGTCTGGCGATTCTGAAACCTACACTGGATTTTGTTCAGCACAGCCAACTTTTGGTAGCCAGATCACTTGTCAAAACGGATGGTCCGATCCCTATTCGTCTTCTCACCCCACTTCATATCCAAGGCAGGTCTACAAAAACACTCTAGCAGTGCTTTGCGAACCAGTAGATGGAAATCAGGCAGTTGGAGACCCGTGGTTACGGCAGAATGAGACGGATGTACGACTTGCTCGAGATCAGCAGAGATCTCTACCCTTAGAGCTGAAGAATTTGCTAAATAGAAGTACAGATGGTTTGAACGATGAACAAATCGGACAGTTGATTGAATTACTCAATGAACATCAAGCTGTGTTTGCCACCTCTACAAACCCTTTCGGCCATATCAGCATAACTCAGCACAGGATTGTCACAGGGGAGTCAAAACCCATCAAGCAAGCACTGAGGCAACTTCCCCTACACTTGAAAGAAATTGCAGAGGAAGAAATAGAGAAAATGCAAAGCCAAAGGCATTATTGAGCTCTCATCAAGTCCCGTGGTCTTCTCTTGTGGTCCTTGTGCAGAAGAAAGATGGAACAATACGCTTTTACATAGATTACCGAAAGGTGAATGGGGTCACCGTTAAACACTCTTATCTACTTCCGAGGATTGATGATTGTCTGGATGCACTGTCTGGGTCGCACTGGTTTTGTACATTGGATTCGGCTAGTGGTTATTGGCAGGTAGAGATGGCAGAAAAGGATAAGGAGAAGACAGCACCTTCCACAGGTTCTGGCCTGTATCAGTTCAATGCGATGCCCTTTGGTCTTTGCAATGCTCCGGCCACTTTTGAGAGGTTGATGGAGAGGGTTCCCATGGGCTTACCTTACCAAGTATTGCTGATTTTCCTGGACGATGTCATCGTGCACACTTAGTCATTTGAAGAGGTCGTGAGGTGCCTACGACTCGTTTTTGAACGGCTACAATCTGCTAATCTAAAGCTCAGCCCAAAGAAATGTTTTCTTCCAGAGGAAGGTTACCTTTCTGGGCCACGTTGTGAGTGGAGATGGAGTGAGTACTTACCTGGGTAATTCAGAGGCTGTCAGTGCCTGACCAGTTCCATGCTCAGTTGCAGAAGTTAGAAATTTTGTTGGCTTGACATCCTATTATTGCCATTTCATCTATGAATATGCCCACATTGCTAAGCCGCTACATGAGTTGACTGAAAGTGGAAAAAATTCTTATGAATGGAGTCCTGTAATAAGGCTTTCTGCACTTTAAAGGAGAATCTTGCCTCAATTCCAGTCTTGGCATACCCAACCCTTAATGACATGTTTATCCTGGACATGAATGCAAGTAGTGTGGCAATCGTAGCTGTCCATTCACAAGTTCAAAATGGAACTGAAAAAGTAATTGCATACTTCAGCAGAGACAGAATCGAGGCAAAGCACATGCCCGAGAATGATTCGTTCTGTGGTGCAGTTACAAGGAATGGAAGTCGGGTCGTAATCTAGCTGCAGGTTCCTCTCAAGAAATGGACCTCTGGATAGATGGAATAACAAGAGAAGACCAACAAAATGACCAACGATGTGACCCCATTTTATCACCTGTAATACGCTGGCTGGAATCTGTACAGGGGCGACCTAAGTGGGAGCAAATTTCTTCCCTTTTTCCAGAGCTTAAGGGCTATTGGGCACAGTTTGAGAGACTTATCCTAAAGGATGGCATTCTGTACTGCAAGCCTCCAACGAGAGCAAAGCATAAAATTGGTCATTCCTAAGAGTCTTCAAGAGAAAATGTTGTTGTCTCTGCATGACTCAGTGACAGCTGGTCATCTGAGAGTGGAGACCCTGCGGCATGTCAAGCAACGGTACTGCTCGAGTGGAAGCAACCGTGATGTAAAGGCATGGTGCCCAAACTGCCTTAAGTCACATCTCAAAGAAAGTCACAGAAAACGTTTCAAGCCCCACTACAGGTGTACAATGTGACGCATAACTTGAGAGGCTCGCCATTGATGTATTCGGACCTCTGCTGGAAACAGACCAAGGAAAGTAGTACATTTTAGTGGTTAAGGATTTCTCGAAATGGATGGAGGTGCTTGCCATGCCTGAACAATCTGCCGTGACTGTGGCACATCTCTTGGGCACTGAGGTTATTCCTAGGTCTGGTGTTCCCATGCAGATTCACACTGACCAAGAAGGTAACTTCAAATCGGTGCTGTTTAAGGAAATGTGTAGGCTGCCGGATATCGCGAAGACTCGGACAACACCCTTGCATGCACCCACAATCAGATGGAATGGTGGAACACCTAAATCGTACATTTGGAGGCTACGTTATCCAAATTTGTCCAAGTAATTCAGCGGAACTGGAATCAGCTACTACCTCTTTTGCCCATGGCTTCCCTGACCGGACTGGCTGTACACCAAATGAGCTAATGTTTGGACAGGATGTTAGGCTACCTGTAGATCTAATGTTCAGTTGTCCTCTGGTTCAAGTCACACCACCAGATTCCACTGAATTTGCCTGTAACCTGAGGGAACAGGTCAGCAAAGTACTCCAGCTTGCCCAGGACAATCTGAACATTGCAAGCTGATGACAAACGCGATTATATGACCAAAGATCTCGAGGAAATTCCTACCGAGAGGGGGAGAAGGTGTGGTTGTACAATCCTCAGAGCAAGAAATGCCGAAGCCTGAAGCTACAAACTCCATGGGAAGGTCCTTGGCAAGTTACCAAGCAAGTTACAGGACATAGTATATCAAATCCACAGGACCCCCAAGGGAAAGCCCAAGTTTGTACACTATGACCGCCTAAAACCGTTTCATAAAAGACAAGTGTCCAGCCAATAATTTTGAACGTTGGACCCAGGAATGCTTTTTCAGCATTGCTGTTTGTCACGAGTTAACATTTCAGTTTGATTAAGACATTTGGAACGGTTCATAGTTACATTTAAGTTACATTTAAGTTTAAGTAAGACATTTTCAACAGTTCGAAATTACATTAGAGGTATTTTCGGAAAGGATTTTTTTTATTAACGCTTCTCCTTTGTCGTTGTCTGTTTTGATTATGTAAAATGGAGTTGTTGGCTTTAGAATGACCCTCGATGCGAGGACGCATCTCTTTTATTGGAGGGGGGAAAATGTAATGAAATTTATAGAGGGATTGCACGAGCTAAGGTGCACGTGCTAAGATGTATAATGGTTATATTTAAATGTGACGCTCGCACAAGTTCTAAGACTAAGAGACAATTATATGGTGAGTAATGAATGCGCAATGCACTCGTAATACAGGATATGTGTGTGTGAGTAGACTTGCCGTGTACAAGTAAGCTGAAAGTTAAGAGTCGAGTAATTAAACCGTTGGCTGTTGGACTCTTTGAGCGGAAATTGTTGTCGCCCGCGCGCGTTACAATATGTTAAAAAAACTTTTCACAAAACCAATGACATCCTCTAGAGATAGTAAATAGACGACACTGAAATTATTCTTCTGCATATAAGCGTATATGAAGCAGACATCCCTGATCTGTCAGTATTTCAATAATAAAGAATCCAGAATTTCCGTATGAACGATCTTCAGATGGCTTTTTGCCAGCAGAGCATTTTATAATCCTGTCGAAGAATCCTGACTTAAGGTGAATAGTTCAATTTCCATCTGTAATTGAAACAAGTATTAATAATAAAACAAACATTACATCAGGTTCCCGGTAGGATGAAAAAAAAAAACATGAAATAAGCATCAATTTGAGAATGTACTCTTATTTCCTCGACAGATGCTCTTAAGACACACAACAACGTGTTTCCACTCAAAACCTTTCCGAAACCATTCAAACTCCTGCAAGATTCTTCGAAAACAATAATTTGGCATATTTGGTGAAAGCTGTGCCTGGTCATATGAGAAAGAGAGATAGAAAACTGAGAAAACATTGTAGCCAACAGATGTGATTATCCAAGCAATGTCACGTCACGTCATGTTGAAGGACGTTGGAAAACGAGTCTGCAATGTCCTACACTTTGACTTGGTGGCGGTCAGCAGTGAGAGATCGTAGAGGTTCATAACTGGGTTCTTAGCGTTATGTTTCTGCCAAACTTGACGCTTAACTCAAAGTTGTTTACTCAAAATGTGATGTTTCATGAAAGGATACTAATTAAAAGCAGTTATTTTCATTTAAATTCGCGTTTAAAAGGCGAAAATCAGTTATTAAATCTTGAGGTGTTTTCGGACTTACCTCGAGAGATTTACTGTTCCGAAAGCTTCGGAAAAGTCACACACGTTACTTACTAACGCACCTGATGACATATTGGCGACTAGCTAAATCCAGTAACTAAAAACAAATGCTTTTAACGGCCAATGGAAGCCAGTGGCTATTAAATAATACCTCCTTCGGGTTATAGCCCTCCAAAATGTTTCACTGCCTTTTTTTTGGCAAAATTTGTTTCATTTAAATGTTTTTTGGGCCCAAGCTTTCCAAGTTCATGTAAAGTGCTCACCTTTTGGTATCAAACTTTTGTCCAGGCATATCAGCTCTGTCTGCATACTTATCTTCATCCTCGCTGTCAGGCTCGTCCTACCACAAAAATGCCAAGACTTTTAATCCAGATAAAGTACGTGTAGTTTTAGAAACCACAAAAGAAATGTTCCAATTACCCCAGAGGCTGGAACTTCTCAAAAACTAGATTGCTGCGGGATGTTACTAAAACTAGTAACGGGGAACGGGGAACGGGGAATGGGGAACGGGGAACGGGAGTCTAGGAACAAGTGTACAGCGGTAACCCGCCTGAGAATTCAGAATGGCGGACAAAGGAAGGGAATGTGGCAAAGTGATACAGTTGTAAACAAGAGTATCTACTGGCTTTGTCCCCAGATGACCCCAGGCGTCATTTCATACTATGTTTATCCCAGTACCAATCAGACTCTGCTCTAACAAGAATGCATTGGGGACAGCCAGTGGAAACTCACAATTACAACTGTAAGACATCCTCATATTTCCCAAAATTCTTCCCTTTTTGAGCCTTTTCTTTTTCTTTGTCTGCCATTTTGGATTCTCAGGCCAGTTACTGCTGTACACTTGTTCCCAGACTCCCGTTCCCGGTTCCCTGTTCCCCATTCCCAGTTTTAATAACATCCTTGGCTGTGTGCAAGTAAAACTCAACCCTATACCTTTTCCCAAAGAAATGCAATATGTATGTAACCTTACTTGAGATTGTATTAATTTCATGGAAAAAAGACACCCAATCTCTTACTAGCAAAAATGCAGTGAAGAGAAACTCTTTTCCAAAATATATTCTATTCCTTCAGCAAGACTAGTGTATCACTACAAAGTGAATACGAAAAGAAAAGAAGAGAAAAGCAAATGGCAGAGTTCGTTTTGAATGGAGAGTTCATCTTGGCACATGTTTGATCAAAACTGATTAAAGGTACCTTATTCTCACTACTAAATTTCGCGAGTACTAAATTTCCCAATTTTTGCGATATTCAAAAAATTGTGGAATTTCATACTTGCAAAATATAGGACACACGAACAATCAAATCTAACTCTGTTGATTTGTTTGCTTTTGTTGTTGTTTATTCATGTGGTGAAAGAATGCAAGAAAGCGATCATTCATGCCTGAGTGTTCTATGTTGTGTTTGGTTTCTACACTTGCTTAATATATACATCATTTAAATCGTACAGTGGCAGGAAAAGGGTAGTGTTGGTTTTAGGGTTAAGGTTAAAATTTTGTTAAGGGCAAAGCCAAGCGCTTGCATTAGAACACATATAAGGGCTAAGCTGTGGGTTAAAGTCAGGTTATGCCCCAGGGTTACAATAAGAAGATATATGCAAATTAGCATTAGTTCTGAAAAATAACTTAGTTATTACATTTGCACTAAAAATCCCCAGGAGTTTTAAGGCTTTTGTACAGCAGAATTTTAGCTGATTTCTTCTTCCAGTCAATACAAGTGTCTTACCACGACTTCAGGCTTTTTTCCTTCTGCTAATTCCTCCTCCAACCTTTCCGCTTTTAAGTGTTGTTTGGCCTAGAAAGACAACATCAACATGTAAGGCTGATTTTTCTATGGTTGTGTAACAGTTCACAATCCATTGATTGTCTTTTGAACTTAAAAGCAAGGCTGTGGTCTAAGAAAAATTATGAGGAGCCCAAAGGTTCCAAACCATGAAATCTTAGATGCCCACCACTTAAGTTTATAAGAAAAAAGTAACTTTTTCCAGTCACTCAACGGCAAAAGTTAGTCACCCGTGGCACCCGGGTGCTTCTAGAACACAGCCCTGGGTATGCTTATGGCTGTCTTTCAGCCTTCTACTGACCAGCTGACCTACAGTGATCTGAACAAGAGCCTGGTGCCCTGCAAGAGCAACAGGCTTCTAACTTACCATTTCTAACTTGGTATATTCCTCCACAACTTTCTTGTAGTCTTCAACATTGTAACCATTCCACCTAAATGGTATTGAAAAAAATATTATGAAACTAAAATAAATCAACAAACGTAAATAAAATACATAATTTAGAATATAAAAATCAATGTTCAAAGCAAGAATGAAGTTCTAAGGAATAAGGTGGGTGAGATATTGATCCATGTAAAGGATGAGAGTAAAAGGAAAATGGGATAAGGAATGTAGTAATTAAGACGTAGCAGGAAAAGGTAGCAGAGAAGGGGCATGTGGCTGGGGAGAAGGGGAGCCCTAGAAGAAGGAGGGGGAAGAAAGATACAATGTGAGGGATTAAGAGTTGTTGAGATCAGAGGAAGTGGAGTCGGATGAGTAGGATGGGAGAAAGAGGATGTTACTATGGGTATTGAGAGAGGAAATAGGAACGTAGGAGGAAGAGTTGTTGCATATGAAATGAGGCACATGGAAAGATAGAGAAGAACAAAATGAAAAACTGGGAAAGGAAGAAAGGTGTTGACAAAAAAGCTCAGGAGCTCCTATTAGGTGAATGTGACAGAGGAAAGGGTCAAGGAATGGAAGTTGAAGGAGAAGGATTCTTTTTTTTTTTTGCTCTTTGTTTGTAGAATTATGAGAAGGCGGAAGATTAGGAAGAGGCACTGTAACTAATAAGAGGTAGAGTCATGGAGGAGAGAAAAAAGAGGATTTAGAGGAGTTTAAGGTAGTGGTGCCGATGGAGGTTGTTGGATAATTTTGTTGGATAATTTGTTGGATAATTTTGGAGGAAAGGAAGGGAAAAGGGGTTGAGGGGATGTGGGAAAATGAAGAGAGAAGATAAAAGACAGTTAACATTTTACTAGTCAATATGATTATTTCACCTGTCTCTTTTTCCATCATAATCAAATGAAAGTTGTGGCTGTAGTTGTTCATCAGGTTTGATATCATCACCAGTGAACTTGGCACCAACTCTTCTAGGTCTCTGCACAAGTACAAATTTCAGACATGAGTGAATTAATACTACATGTACATGCATCTTGTACAGGAGTTTTAACAAAATTGTTTATAAGCCGCTGCCGATTTTGTAATACAGTGTAGGTGGTTGTGGCCATGAAAGAGGGTTAAGGTCCCCTTTCCCTAGGGGTTTTGGGGACATGTCCCCCCTCCCCCACCAAAAAAAATAATGAAATCTAGCATCTACATGTAGGAAATGCAATTTCCTGCGTTCTGGACATCAAAAGGACTACTGTTTGCCTGTACACTTGACAGCACATTTTGAGTTTGAACAGCAGTGTATCTAAGGCAAATCTTGCAAATGAAAATTATCTGAACAGACGTTAGTATGAGACTCTACATAAGTGGTTGTGGACTACTGGTAACTGGCTTTTATTGGGAACCTTGATAAAACATTTAAATTCAGAACTGCATCTTGAACTCTCCCTTGACTGTCTTACTGTACATTGTATACACACCAGTTGTACAGGGCATTCAAAAAACAAAAAAAACAACAACAACAACAACAACAAAAACAATCTAAAGAACAGAGAGTGGAGACTGTTTAATGATTAACTAATAAAGTCAGAATGTACTACAAAATAATCAGGGCTGTCAATAACGGCCGTAACCCATGGCATATGTTGTGGCTGAGCATGCTTGATGGGCCTTTGATGTTACATCTTCACTTGCCTGTAGTTGATACAATTCACCCATAAAGTAACAAGTGTGTTACAGGTGTGAAGATCAAGGCTACTAGTGAGTCAAAGCTTAATGACAGTCCTGATAATTACAATATATTGAAATACCTCAAGACAGTGTTTCTTCTTGTGAGTCATTGCTCCACAGTTTTCACAAGCTCCTTTCCTGAACTTAGTAGCAGCAGGGGCCTATAGGACAAAACACTTTTCTTAAACATCATGTATAGAACACTTGTAAGTCTGATTCTATTTCATTCATATCCTAACATACTACCATTATTCTATTAACTTACAACAGCTTGAGTTCCTCTGTTATACCACTCATTTAAAGATGAAAATTGTTTCTGTTTTTCTTCTTGAGGTCGTTGATGTTTCAAGGTTGGTCTAAAAATGTAAATCAAAGTTATGATTTCAAGTAGTAGCCATGGTGTTTCGTATATAAAAAGCTAAATAAATTAGTAATTATTAAAGGTGGTTTTCACTACTAGCGACTTAGTCTTAGTCGGAGTCGTAAATTATAGGTACAGAGTGATACGATCTAGTGAAAATAAACCAAGAGAGCCAAAAGCAGAATACCAATTCTGCTTATGGTCCTGTTACTTATGATCTAGTGAAAACTACATTGTTGGAGTTGGAAGCAGAGGTGGAAGAATAAACCAATCACAATGCTAGTCAAAATCACCCTAGAGTGAACTTGGGTCAGATAAACTGGCCCATCATAAGTTCCATAGCATAAACTGAACAGGAGTATTCCTAGTGGATGGGACACTAGTCTACCACAGGATACTTCCAAGAGTCACCAAATTTAAAGAATTAAAATCAAAACAAATGTAGTGCAAAACAATATACAGCAGCTAGCTCAGTGCAGGGTTCTCAGGAGAATGCTGCAGCCAATGGATTTCTATAAACTGTACATGGACCTTCTGCAAAGACAAACAGCTTCCTGTTTCAGCTTGAAAACACAAGGCTTTGTTAATGTTTTAGTAGCCATCAAGATTAAAAACAAACTACTCAGAACCTTCAAGAGGTATGTTTTTAACTCTTACCTTGAGGTGCCATAGTACCAAGGAGCTTGAGAGATATACTGTGGAATATGAGGATTAATATCCCTGAAAGAATGAACCAAAAAAAAAAAGATCAAGATAGGTTTCCACTTGGGTTATAAGCCTTAATGCAAATATAACATTCAACACACGCAAAACGTAGCTATTGACGAAGACCTCAACGTACGTACACGTACTACAACGCGATCAGAACGAATTCAGTTGACACAGTGCAGTTTTCTCACGGAGCGCAACATACAAACGCACAAACAATCGTCCAAAGCAGCGCAAGCAATAACTTACTTTCCTTCTTCATCAGTCAATGCTGGTGCTGTACCAGCCTTTCTCGCTTCCTCAAGCTCTTTCTCTTTTCGCCAATCTAGACGACTTTTCTTCTGCGATTCAGTTTTGGCCGCCATCTTGTGTTTGCTTTCCCATAATCCATTTCAAGAGACTTGCGGGAGCTTGTGCGTAGCGGAGCGACGTCACTTCCTTCTTTCTTTTTAGTAAGGGAGGGGTAGGCGGATTATGCTAGATAATAAATACTTCTTTGGGACTTCATGAATGTGATAGAGTACAGATATTTCGGAATAATTGCTATCACCGTCTTTAGTTAAATAATCTTGATGATAAGATATCTGGAAAGCTTAGGGATGATAAAACTTTTTCCGGAAAAAAAAAAATTCACTTTTACCCTACCCGGGTGTAAACGTCCATGTCCCACTGAAGCGAGTCTGAAGAGTAACGTAGTAAAGAAAATTTAGCGATGGAGTTCACGAACGTTTTCTTGTCGATTTTCTTCCTATTTATTTCGAAAGTAATCGCAAATGAGGACTCAAGAGGATATCTTCGAAGAGAGCATTCAATTTTTAAAGGTGAGTTAAAATGTTTTTCAGGAGATCTCACGAATTTGGTCTCTTTTGAAATATAACTTTTACAAAGTCAACAGAATCTGGGAAAACGTAACGTAACATTTCTGGTATCTTTGATGTCCATTTCCTGTCAAGAGGAAGTTATGTTCTCTCACAGCGCTTTTCTTCGTTAGATTCAGTGCGTGGTCATTTTTAGAGTGCAATTTTATTTGGCATAAGATTAAACCAAGGAATATAAAAAAATAAATTCAGTGTTTGTACAATGTAGATTTCTGCGACTGGGTTTCCATGTGACATGCATGTGTTCGTAGCTACATGTAGCACTTGAAGTTCGATCGAATAGATTTTTCCATTATGTAAACATTTTGGTTTTCTGCTTTCATATATTCGAATCAATTTTGTTCAGTCATCATACATTGCAATACTCAGTGTGTAATACATAGCGTTATTGGTTGCCAATCAAGGTACATGTAGTGTTGTTTCGTGTTCTCGATTTGCCAGAATCATGAAGATGGTGCTCCAAATTCTTTAAGGAGTTAATGCGTTTGAGGTCTGAAAAACTACAAGTCATGGCTAGTAGATGCACAAGCAGAATGCGAGTGCATTCGTAACATAGGAACACGTAGGAAAACACAGGAACAATATCTTCCTTTTGGTCTTGGAATGTATAAGTAAGGGTACATGTAGACTTGCAGAAACGTCCTTCATCTAATATACTCTTGTTTATTCATTACCCGCTGGAGGAAGGACTTTTCATAATAGATTGCCGCCAGTTCAGGACTTTGTCCCTCACTCAGTCGTTTCAAGACCTTCACAATCCCACTTCGTGGACTAAAACCTCTCAGCTTGCTTCACTTGCTGAGCTATTCCACCCTAAGATTCATGAGGTCGACTTGCGACAAGTCTAAAGCTAGGATTTCACTGTACATGTTAGTATTATTCATAGTATTTGAGCTAAATATTTACCTGCAGGCAAACAATGTTACTGGTTAATAAATTTGTGCCTGGAAAATGTGTTGTTCGAGAAAATACATGTACCCCTCCCACAGGAGGTTGTAAGTTTCTCTCCCCTCCCCCTCCACCTTGGAATTGTCAGTAACCTTCCTTGGGATGGGTATGGATATTTTCTGGAACTGCAAATTGTGCCATTATGATTTTAGTTTTACATTACATTCTCTATAATGCTCACAGTAATTCACACACCAAGTNTTCAGCCTTCTACTGACCAGCTGACCTACAGTGATCTGAACAAGAGCCTGGTGCCCTGCAAGAGCAACAGGCTTCTAACTTACCATTTCTAACTTGGTATATTCCTCCACAACTTTCTTGTAGTCTTCAACATTGTAACCATTCCACCTAAATGGTATTGAAAAAAATATTATGAAACTAAAATAAATCAACAAACGTAAATAAAATACATAATTTAGAATATAAAAATCAATGTTCAAAGCAAGAATGAAGTTCTAAGGAATAAGGTGGGTGAGATATTGATCCATGTAAAGGATGAGAGTAAAAGGAAAATGGGATAAGGAATGTAGTAATTAAGACGTAGCAGGAAAAGGTAGCAGAGAAGGGGCATGTGGCTGGGGAGAAGGGGAGCCCTAGAAGAAGGAGGGGGAAGAAAGATACAATGTGAGGGATTAAGAGTTGTTGAGATCAGAGGAAGTGGAGTCGGATGAGTAGGATGGGAGAAAGAGGATGTTACTATGGGTATTGAGAGAGGAAATAGGAACGTAGGAGGAAGAGTTGTTGCATATGAAATGAGGCACATGGAAAGATAGAGAAGAACAAAATGAAAAACTGGGAAAGGAAGAAAGGTGTTGACAAAAAAGCTCAGGAGCTCCTATTAGGTGAATGTGACAGAGGAAAGGGTCAAGGAATGGAAGTTGAAGGAGAAGGATTCTTTTTTTTTTTTGCTCTTTGTTTGTAGAATTATGAGAAGGCGGAAGATTAGGAAGAGGCACTGTAACTAATAAGAGGTAGAGTCATGGAGGAGAGAAAAAAGAGGATTTAGAGGAGTTTAAGGTAGTGGTGCCGATGGAGGTTGTTGGATAATTTTGTTGGATAATTTGTTGGATAATTTTGGAGGAAAGGAAGGGAAAAGGGGTTGAGGGGATGTGGGAAAATGAAGAGAGAAGATAAAAGACAGTTAACATTTTACTAGTCAATATGATTATTTCACCTGTCTCTTTTTCCATCATAATCAAATGAAAGTTGTGGCTGTAGTTGTTCATCAGGTTTGATATCATCACCAGTGAACTTGGCACCAACTCTTCTAGGTCTCTGCACAAGTACAAATTTCAGACATGAGTGAATTAATACTACATGTACATGCATCTTGTACAGGAGTTTTAACAAAATTGTTTATAAGCCGCTGCCGATTTTGTAATACAGTGTAGGTGGTTGTGGCCATGAAAGAGGGTTAAGGTCCCCTTTCCCTAGGGGTTTTGGGGACATGTCCCCCCTCCCCCACCAAAAAAAATAATGAAATCTAGCATCTACATGTAGGAAATGCAATTTCCTGCGTTCTGGACATCAAAAGGACTACTGTTTGCCTGTACACTTGACAGCACATTTTGAGTTTGAACAGCAGTGTATCTAAGGCAAATCTTGCAAATGAAAATTATCTGAACAGACGTTAGTATGAGACTCTACATAAGTGGTTGTGGACTACTGGTAACTGGCTTTTATTGGGAACCTTGATAAAACATTTAAATTCAGAACTGCATCTTGAACTCTCCCTTGACTGTCTTACTGTACATTGTATACACACCAGTTGTACAGGGCATTCAAAAAACAAAAAAAACAACAACAACAACAACAACAAAAACAATCTAAAGAACAGAGAGTGGAGACTGTTTAATGATTAACTAATAAAGTCAGAATGTACTACAAAATAATCAGGGCTGTCAATAACGGCCGTAACCCATGGCATATGTTGTGGCTGAGCATGCTTGATGGGCCTTTGATGTTACATCTTCACTTGCCTGTAGTTGATACAATTCACCCATAAAGTAACAAGTGTGTTACAGGTGTGAAGATCAAGGCTACTAGTGAGTCAAAGCTTAATGACAGTCCTGATAATTACAATATATTGAAATACCTCAAGACAGTGTTTCTTCTTGTGAGTCATTGCTCCACAGTTTTCACAAGCTCCTTTCCTGAACTTAGTAGCAGCAGGGGCCTATAGGACAAAACACTTTTCTTAAACATCATGTATAGAACACTTGTAAGTCTGATTCTATTTCATTCATATCCTAACATACTACCATTATTCTATTAACTTACAACAGCTTGAGTTCCTCTGTTATACCACTCATTTAAAGATGAAAATTGTTTCTGTTTTTCTTCTTGAGGTCGTTGATGTTTCAAGGTTGGTCTAAAAATGTAAATCAAAGTTATGATTTCAAGTAGTAGCCATGGTGTTTCGTATATAAAAAGCTAAATAAATTAGTAATTATTAAAGGTGGTTTTCACTACTAGCGACTTAGTCTTAGTCGGAGTCGTAAATTATAGGTACAGAGTGATACGATCTAGTGAAAATAAACCAAGAGAGCCAAAAGCAGAATACCAATTCTGCTTATGGTCCTGTTACTTATGATCTAGTGAAAACTACATTGTTGGAGTTGGAAGCAGAGGTGGAAGAATAAACCAATCACAATGCTAGTCAAAATCACCCTAGAGTGAACTTGGGTCAGATAAACTGGCCCATCATAAGTTCCATAGCATAAACTGAACAGGAGTATTCCTAGTGGATGGGACACTAGTCTACCACAGGATACTTCCAAGAGTCACCAAATTTAAAGAATTAAAATCAAAACAAATGTAGTGCAAAACAATATACAGCAGCTAGCTCAGTGCAGGGTTCTCAGGAGAATGCTGCAGCCAATGGATTTCTATAAACTGTACATGGACCTTCTGCAAAGACAAACAGCTTCCTGTTTCAGCTTGAAAACACAAGGCTTTGTTAATGTTTTAGTAGCCATCAAGATTAAAAACAAACTACTCAGAACCTTCAAGAGGTATGTTTTTAACTCTTACCTTGAGGTGCCATAGTACCAAGGAGCTTGAGAGATATACTGTGGAATATGAGGATTAATATCCCTGAAAGAATGAACCAAAAAAAAAAAGATCAAGATAGGTTTCCACTTGGGTTATAAGCCTTAATGCAAATATAACATTCAACACACGCAAAACGTAGCTATTGACGAAGACCTCAACGTACGTACACGTACTACAACGCGATCAGAACGAATTCAGTTGACACAGTGCAGTTTTCTCACGGAGCGCAACATACAAACGCACAAACAATCGTCCAAAGCAGCGCAAGCAATAACTTACTTTCCTTCTTCATCAGTCAATGCTGGTGCTGTACCAGCCTTTCTCGCTTCCTCAAGCTCTTTCTCTTTTCGCCAATCTAGACGACTTTTCTTCTGCGATTCAGTTTTGGCCGCCATCTTGTGTTTGCTTTCCCATAATCCATTTCAAGAGACTTGCGGGAGCTTGTGCGTAGCGGAGCGACGTCACTTCCTTCTTTCTTTTTAGTAAGGGAG